AAGTATTCTGTTAGAACTCAATGATTATTCTAATTATATTTTAGATTTTTTATATTTAAAATTAGATGTTTATCATGTATTTGATTGTATTTATCTGCATTTAGTTACACAAATTCAGATATGGGATGAAATCGGATAGAGATGAAATCTGGTTTAAAAGTTTTTAAGAGTTTTAAGAGTTTTAGCCAAATGCTTTATAATATAGTATAGATAATGGCATAATAAATAATTAAGCTATGTATAAAAACAAGGCTGGCTTCTGCATGTATAGAAGTGTTGTTGGAGTTGGTAACTAGTGATGGTTGATGGATGTTTCATGGTATCATCCAAAATCAAAGGAGACATCTCTTTATAAGTCTTTGTTTGATGTGGTGTTTGATTCCTAATTACTCTGCCACTCGTGAAACCTTGCCTCATATCCACAATGCCACATCGTACCTTGTCCCCCTCTTTATTTTATATATATATATATATATTACAAGAATACCCTTTTCCTGTAGTTTCATATATGATATTACATTTTATCAAATATGATATATATGTGATACTAAATCACAGACTTTTGGTGCGACCTAGGTTGTCGGGGACCTAGATTGTTAGGTACGTCGTTCGTATACTACCGAGTCCCCTTAAGTGTATTATCACATGTGATGAGAGAGTTGTCACATTTTCCTAAAATGAAAGAATTTTTGTTTGAACTTTCACCTAAATGATGAAGGTGTTCTCCTTATCACATTGTCACACAAAAAAAAAAAAACGATCAAGTCATATATGATCACGGAACACAGTCAACACAAGAGTGAGCAGAGGACTTGACCCGCAACCTTAACTTATGGCCAAACTCACGTTAATTACACAAGGTATTCTCGTATAAACTCACTTTAATAGTAATTTAGAATTTAAAAAGGTCAAGTGATGAACTTTTCTATTGACTTTAACGGTCATAAAATTTGAAAATTTAAATCAAGCTATATGTGGTTTTAAATTAAAAAAACCAGATTAATTTTTTTTGTAATAATAATAATTAATAAATATGTAATATATATATATATATATTTATATATATATATATATATATACACTTCAATTTTGGTCCACATGGTTTTCTAAAATTCTTGGTTTTGGTTCCTATAGTTCATTTAATACAAAATTGTCATCGTAGTTTGCATTTTTGTCCAGTATTAGTTCCTCCTACTAAGTACTAACAACCGTTAAAAGAATCAGTTAATTAAGGTTATTTTCGATTTTTCCCCATTTTCTTCCATATTACTATAAAACTTTTTGAGTTTTGACTTCTGATATTTTTGTTTTATCACGTGTGTATGTATACACACACACACATATAAACACAGATACAACCATCTACGACAACATTAATTAGGTAACACTAGTACTGAAAGTTGTCGCTCCAAAAGCAATGAGTTTTGCAACAAAAGCGAAACGAATCGACCTTGACCCTTGTTATTTTTAGGTCATATCTAGTATTCAGAGTTTGCCTCGATTTGGTATCACTCTCTCTGCCTGAACCGAAATAATGGCTTACCCCTAGATGTTCAGTCAATGTTGTGCCTTAACACATTTTGGGGAAAACCAGCTAAAGGAAGGGCCTTTCCCTCTGGGGTTAGGAAGTTCCTTTCTAGAGAACCCCTTTCTCAGCGATGAACCCTTCTCCCTCCATCTCCAACGTACTTTCCTGCATCAACCCCCATTTCTACCTCTTTCCTCAAGCTACATAAAAAGAACTAAGGTAGAGCATCCATAATGGTCAAGTCTTTAAAAGACTTGATCTATTTGTCACATCAAATTTCCAATATAAAAAAACCATCTTCAGATACTTACTCCAATGGTGAAGTATTTTAAAAGTTTTTTTTGTATTTTTTATTAATTTTAAATACACATTGAAGTTTACTCTATACTTTAAAATTGTTTATTTTTTTCCCTTTACTTTTGTTTCCCGTCAAAGAAAAAAAAGAGTAAATTACATTTTTCATCCATATGGTTTACAAAAAATTAGTTCTTGTCCCTGAGTTCACTAATTACATCCTAGCCCTTGTGGTTTGCATTTCATCTTGGTTTAGGTCCACAAGTCTAACGATTGTTTAAAGGGACCGTTAAGTGGGGTCACGTATCCCTCATGTGGAGGGCATTTCAGCCATTTTCCAGTAATGATTTTGTTCTTCCTCTTCATATGAACATCTTGTTCATTCAAAAAATGAAGATGAACTTCAAGCATATGAAATTTTGTTCTATATCATTACGTCCATAAAATCAAAACAAAATCTTGTTCTACATTATTAAGTCCCTCAAAATCAAATTATACACTAAGTTCCACAACCAAATCCATCTCCCAAACCAAAGAAATCAAGAACAATGAAAAAATTAATTGCCCAGGAAAAAAAAACTCACAAATTGGGTTTCAAGTGTTGCCCCTAAATAGAGAACAACAAGAAGAAAACATACCTTAAAAAGAAAAGTAAAACAGCAAAAACTCTAAAAAAAAGAAAAACGTCAAGAACCTAAAAATAAGAAGATGAAGGTTGAAGCAAAACATCAAGAACGTTGAAGCAGAACGAAGTTGAAGATCTTGAAGTGAAACCTAGATGGAGGTCGACGACCATCATTGTTGGTGTCGAGAGGGATTAAGAGAGGCAAGGTGCCGCCATGAGCGGTGACACAGGGTAGTAGACTTCAGAATTTTGGGGTTACAGTGTTTTTAAGTTTAGGGTTTATTTTCATTAGTTTTGTTTTATTTTATTCTATATTATATTTAATGTTTGTACTCGAGCAATTCATACTTGCAAATTATAAAAATTTATAAAACAAAATATAAAATAATCGAAATGCCACTCACTTGAGAGACATGTTGTAACTAAGGGCTATTAAAATGGGTTTGAACATTTTTCCACACAGCAACATACAACTTTGTGTTGGTAAATGGTCAGACCAAACCCTATATCCAGACCAGACTCTTACCTGATTAAATTTATTTAATTTGTGTTGATAGATAACCCATAAATCCATGTTTCAGGTAAGAAAGCTAAAAGACTGATATTATATGTGTACCCCTAAAAGATTAAAATCTGATCAAATCCGGCATCAAAAAATATAAAAAAGAAAAGCTTGATGTTGATGTGGGAGTAAAAGAAACTATCAGGGGGTTCATTTAAGCATCTCTAAACCCTCCAAAAAAATTCTTTAATCAAAACCCAAAATTTTCAAAAAGAATTACATTCAATTCTAACAGCTTCCCTACTTTTAGAGATTTTAAAATTGATTACATTATTAAAATATTCTAAACATTTAATTTCAAGGTTTCCTTATTGGTGTGAATATAATAAAAGTATAATTCTTTTTCATTATGATCATTTTTGAAGAATTCTCCAAATTTGGAGAATTTTACAACATTTTTTTCTACTTTCTCCATTTTGGAGAAAATTTTGAAAAATCTGTTGGAGCAAAATTTTGTCCGAAATCTACATTTTGAAAAATCTATTAAAAATGATCTTGGTAAATAAAATAAAATATCTCCAACATATTTTCCAAAATTTAGAAAATTGAGATTTTGAGCAGGTCTTTTTTTGCTCCCGGAGATTCTTTAAGACATTTCTCCAAAGTGGAGAAAATAAAAAAGAGTGAAATTCTTTAAATTTGAAAACAACTCTTCAAAATTATTACCGTAAAAGAAAAACATATTTTGTTATATTTCAACCAATAAAAAACTTTGAACTTATATATCTCGCAAGAAAAATAGTATTTTATTAAATATATAAGTTTTTTTTATTAACCTGGATGTCCAACCCGCTATGCAAGTCGACTAATCTCAGAACGACCATCTGTTTTGCAGATAGCCCGTAGTCACCGCATTTGAACTTATGTGGCCACAAGAGGATTTTTATTTCTTCTTGGATTTGAACCTAGGACCTCATACTACTTTTGACCTTTAAAGTCAAACTCAAACTAATCAGACACCACTCTTATAAGATATTTGAATAACATAGGAAATGTTAATCTTTAAATTAAATATGTTGGAGTTAATGTAATTTCATTTTTGGACAATCCATCGGATGCTCGGTTAGAAGATGGTCAAGCTAGAGATGATTCTAGTGAAGCGTAGAGACGCATATAATAATATATGTTCAACACAAAGGCCCACAAAAAGTGCCAGAATCCTCCAATGAGATCTCGCTATTTTTCCTATTCACCACTCCAGAACCATCTTCCCTCACCTATAAATACCATCATCTTCCTCCCCTCCCACCACCACATCTAATTGTTCTACACCTATCAAGCTTATTCTCATCGAAAATGTCCATCATTCCAACCTTCTTTGGTGGCCGTCGAACCAACGTCTTTGATCCCTTCGCCTTCGACATATGGGACCCTTTCGATCACATCCTCAACATTCCATCTGGGTCCCGCGAAACCTCAGCTTTCGTGAATGCCCAGATTGATTGGAAGGAGACCCCAGAAGCTCATGTATTCAAGGCTGATCTTCCAGGGGTGAAGAAAGAAGAGGTGAAGGTGGAGTTGCAAGAAGGTAGGATTTTAGAGATCAGTGGAGAGAGGAGCAGGGAGAAAGAGGAGAAGAATGGCAAGTGGCACCGCTTGGAGAGGAGCTCTGGCAAGTTTCTCAGGCGGTTCAGGTTGCCGGATAATGCAAAGGTTGACCAGGTCAATGCTAGGATGGAGAACGGGGTGCTGACAGTGACCGTGCCTAAGCAGGAGGTCAAGAAGCCGGAGGTGAAGACTATTCATATCTCTAACTAGTGCCCCCTTATCCTATTTGGAATAAAAGAAAATGTGTGACCATGTGTCGATGTGCAACATGCAACTCCATGCAAATCTGTTTGCGAAATTATATATGTAACTTGTTTGTCAAGTAATAATAAAAATTGTGTGCCCATTCATGCTTTACTTTCTAGAAACTTATTAATTTAGTCATATAGGACTATATTTAATTATTCAAGAACAGAATTTAACTAAAAGTGATGCTAGATTATAAATGTTACCTTCAAACTTGATGCACATGTTGCCTGGTCTTTCATCCTCGTACTTGCATCTTCAGAAGCCTGCAAATCTCTTACTTCCATCAGATATCAAACAAAATTTAAATACACAGCTAAACACGTGAAAACCATTAACGGAAACATTCATTCTACAAGTAAATAAGAATTCCACACATGCCATAGCCAAAGGTGTTGGCTTACTTACATGAACTGCACAGAAGACTGAAAATTTCATCTGCATCCAGAACTGTGTTAATGACAAGGTTTGGACAAATGGATAGATATACCAGGTAACAAAGAAAGCCATGAAGATTACAACAATGTGCACTGATACAGTGAAAATGGTTTTACGGTGGTAAATTCTCTCTTTCATCAAACTAACATAACAAGCTAGAAGATACCAACGCTCGGTAAGGACCCGTTTATAACAATAACCTTTAGTTGTGACTTCTGTAGAATCTATTATATCCTCGAATGGTTTAATTAATTAATTCTTTTACAAGTGGTTGCTAAGGAAGCATGATGTTGGCACTTTGCAGTCACTTGAGGGATTTAGTAAGATGTTTATGTGCGGTATCAAAAGCTGCCCATGAGATTAATGTGTTCCACAAAGATACCATGTTTGTTGCAAGGATGAAGCTCGTTTAGTAATATGCAGCAGTGCTACCCTCTGGCTTCAATGAACTCCTTCAGATTCTGCCAAATTCCTTTGTCATAAGGATTTTTAAACCTCGTCACTGTTACCGCCTCCCCTGAATGGTCAAAGATTATTCAGGTCACATACAGCACTGATAACAATACTCATGTTGCAAAAAGAAAAAGATGAGATACATTTTATGTCAAAGTCAAAATCTATTGTTTTTGAAATTCAAAACCATATGGATTTTCTCACATGATTAGCAACATATCTCTATTTGTATTAATCACTATAAAGTTAATGTAGTCATCAATTTCCATGAGGTATCGTTTGGTATGCAGGATTGGTTTTGAGTGATATGGATTTCATGGAAGGATTTGGATTTGGAAGGATTTGGAATGTTTGGTGTGTTTGGTTTGTAGGATTTGGAATGGAATTGAATTCCATTATTTATTTTTTATAAATAATAATAAAAATAATTATATTACCTTTTCATTAATTGATTATTACAAAATAAATGTTTTTAACATATTTTAAACCATTATTACATATAAATCCTACGAAATCCCATGAAATACCTACCCCATGGGATTTCAAAATCCTATGTTCGTAGGATTTCAAAATCCTATGTTTGTGGGATTTCAAATCCACGAAATCCTTCAACCCAAACATGGGATTGGAATGGAATTCAATTCCGAATCCCTCCAAATCCAATCCAATCCAATCCTGCAAACTAGACGGACCCTCAGAGCTTAAGGAACTGGTATCACTTTTGAAGCTGATCAGCTCAAAGTCAAAAGTGTCAATTTTCTTAGTCCAAGATCCATGGAGGCACATGATTAAAATGTACCTGGCTCAGGCTGGATAATATGCTGGAACTCCGGATATTTCTTCCAGTGTATCTGTAAAAGCACAGTTCATACAGCGTTACAGTTTTGGTGTGTGTTATTAAGATGAGAACAACACCCTAGCCTATCAACGTGGCAACCAGATACAATATGAACTTAATCTTAAAAGCTTTAAGAAGAAAAGTACAGTAATCATAAAAGTTGAAAAAGATAATATAAAAAGAAAGAGTTACATATATAATAGTAAAACCAGATCCAGAGAACAGTAAATGTTGTTCAAGTTTTTTTAAACGACAAGATTGTTGGATATGGAGTCTATTTTGTTAAATTGGCTACATCAGAAATTTGGATGACAGTTCTCTGTCCTATAATAGAATCCAATCTAACTTCTGAAATGCACAAGTGAATAACATGTAAATGTTGCATCTCCAACTTTTTCCTTTCCTGCAAGTTACCATGTGTGTGCAGATGAATGACGATCTGTTACATATATAATAGTAAAACCAGATCCAGAGAACAGTAAATGTTGTTCAAGTTTTGTTAAAACGACAAGATTGTTGGATATGGAGTCTATTTTGTTTAAATGGCTACATCAGAAATTTGGATGACAGTTCTCTGTCCTATAATGGAACCCAATCTTACTTCTGAAATGCACAAGTGAATAACATGTAAATGTTGCATCTCCAACTTTTTTCTTTCCTGCAAGTTACTATGTGTGTGCAGATGAATGACGATCCTAACAGATACATGGATACAAAGAATATAGAACTTACCCATTCATCTGTTCTGATATTGAAACACACACAATATATGTGCCATGCCAGAAATACCGCCTAATAGTTCCACAAAAAACAAGGTGAGATAATAAACATCTTAAACGAGTATGGTATATCTACAGGAATAGAATGCAATGGAATCACAGTTGGCTAACAGGTATGCACCTGCCATAACACTTGCAGAAGGGAGAATATCATCGTGCTAGTAGCTAATGTTTCAGTCCAACCAACCTGCTGGATACAAGATCTAAAACATTACAAGCTTGCTCCAAACAAGAATGATTTGCAATTGACAAGATTCAAGGTGGTGCTAAGATACATTGACATACCTTCCCCCCACTCGTATCCAGTGTTCGGGATGTTGTTGCAACTGGAATTTAAGATGAAGATGGATGAGCATGTTTGAAAGATGGTCTCTCAACCTAAGCAGTTATGCATATAGCAGATCCGCAATAGGAAAAAGAATCACAGGTTAAAGCAAACAGGATGTCCACCACCTGCTGAAAAGTGTCTTCATGGAAGCATAGATAAATATATAAGCAAATTAACCACCAAAAAAAGATGCAGGATAGGGTACTTGTCTATGGTAATCATAGTCATCCATAGAATGGTCCTAGGTATTAATAGACCACTAGAGAAAGATGCAGGATAATGTATATGTCTATGGTAATTATAGTCATCCATAGAATGATGCTAAGTATTCAAGCCATGGTGTCACACAGCAAACTGATTCCATCACTTGTTTAGATCTCAGTAGATATTGGGAGTCAAACATTTTGTACTCTCAATTGGTCATGTAGTAATGCAAGCATGTCTCAGAGTTTCTCAGTTATTTTTTTAACTTCTAATTGCGATCTTCTTGGATCTTTAGCCAAGGTTAATTTCATTTTTCTCTTCATGTTGCAAGTTATGGGAGATTGCTTCATTATGCTGGTTAATTTACTTCATTGGCAATAATGCTATTGTCAAGAGGCTTCACATTACTTCTGTAGTTTATGATGGTCGCTGGTGTTACACGCCTATCATTGAGTAACTGTATGCATGCGGTAAACTATCTCATCTAGTGTTCATGGATCATGAATCAGTATGTAAGTGATTTATACAGCCAAGTCACTTCGGTTTTTATTGATATTAGTAAAATAATTTGCTTGGTGAAAATATATACTTGAATGTCCGAAGTTCAGGCTAGTGTCTTGTTCCATAACATAAGATAACTTTGCTCATATTTTATTAGATGTGATTGTATTTGATAACAGCTTCAATCTCACAATGATGATGAAAATGTCATATGTGCATGCTTTGAGAATTGTGGAAAATTATGATGAAGCTTACTCTGAGATGCACCCACGATGTAACAAGCCTCAATTATTATAAATCCGGCTAGGAGAACCATGAAAAGTAGATGATTGTTTTGACCTGCACTAAAAGACTACCAACTTCAGCTCCAGTAAGCGATGTTGCTGCATGCAAAGCCCAAGAGTAAAATCCAACTACTTAAAGCTGGTCCTAACGACACAACCAAGACAACTGAAAGTAGTTTGTTGAAGTTGTTACCTATACAATTCCCGAAAGCAGGACAATGGTGGTCAAATCCCTTAACATGCGCATCACAGTGCTTACAATATCTTACCCTTTGGAGTAAAAGTGAACACTGTTATCGATAAATATCAAGTACTTCAGCATCTGTAATTTCATACTATCTCAACCACAAAAAAAAATGCAGTCTGTGTGTCATTTAAAGAAAGAGAGTGAAGACATTCCAGAGTTGGTAAATGGAATACCATGGTTGCTCCAAGTTGGTAAAGTTGGTAAATGGAATACCATGGTTGCTCCAAGTTGGGAAGAAAGGTTAGCTCAAGTAAAGTTGGTCTTTAATTATACATAATAAAATGGAAAAGAAAAACCCAGAATACTTGTTAAGTTTTGAATTTCTTATAATGATATTTAGTTGCACGTAAAAAATACCATAATAGTTGTTGCAAGGGAATCACAATATATTAGCTATTCTATTCAAGGTATATTAGTAATGCATGTAACCAAGTATAGACACCAAGGGAAAACAGTTTCCTAGATCATAGTAGACATGGCTACCCAATATGCAGATCAATCAGGACAGAGGTTTTAAATGTTGAAGTCTCTCAAGAATAAAATGCCTGGAAGGCTAGATGGTAAAACGAGTATGATGGTAAGTGTTTGCTAGGAAGTAAATAATAACCTTGTCAAGTGGGCATCCCTCATACAGGTCGGAAGTTGGGGGCCCCATTCCCTGCATGAATAAACAAGATTGTCATGCATATTCTGCAATTTTAACAGGAACAACTTTAATGATAGTAACCTCCAGATAAGTTTCACTGTTGGAGAGAGGACCAGGTTTTTCGTGACAAGGATGTTCACAATTAACAAAACCAGGATCACCTGACAGGATTCTGAAAGAAATCTCCTCATTAGAATAAATGAAAAGATAAATTACATATATCAAACGAAATCCTGCTTTACAAGAACAAATATTAACACACAGACCTGTGTAGACCGAATAGGAGCATAATAAGCTCTGCATGGACAACCATATCCAATAAAGATGAGACGACTGTAAAACAGAGAATTAGTTTGCTTATTTGGAATAAATGCAAGATAACCACAAAAGATATATAGTGAAATTAATGAGGTCATAAATAAAGAGAACACAAGAAATGTCAATTCTAAGTATGGTATATAAGATTCAACTTATGGGAGACTGATTAGAGTCAAAAGCCCTAATAATTTATAAATCATATGGTGGTTATGGTCTTCAACTGTCAGCCTTTTGAACTTGCTTGTCCATATCTTTAAAACTTGGCCATTTTCTTCGAGTGCTCTCATATTGTTGTGTCAAAGAATTTGAAGAAGTTCTGAATATCGCTCAAAAAAATTAAGTAAAACTGTCTGGAGGGTATCCTACCATATATATAGATTACAACAACTTTCCACTTAAATAGACGACATATCGCTATCAGAGACGACTAAAGAGTAACAACGTTTACTTGGAAAAAAGGCAGAGTGACATATTATTACATTCTGAACATATTCCATGGTTTCAGTGGAGGGATCCATCAGGACTATCACTTTACTCAATCAGGAGACTTCTACCGGCTAAAGACTGGAGAGTGAACAAGTTACAGCACCAGAGGCAGCCATGCTCCAATGAACTATAAATTACTTCTCTTTGGAAACTCTTTTGTATTCCCTTTCAACTTCTATGATTTAACCCTCTTAGCACAAGCTTTGTGCTGTCATCTAATATTACGAGTTGCTTAACACAAAATGACCAACAATTATAAAATTTATGCAGAATATGTTTATAAGCACAGATAGCTTAACATGTAAGTGATGTGGTTGGTATTTAATTGCATCTGATAGTGTAGTAAGTACATTAAGTCAAACATTTAGTACTAGGATTTACATGCTTGCAAACATTTAGGAAGCAAAATAAGTTCCAATTTTAACAAATGACATCCACGCTTCCAATGATAGAATCACGGGGCTACGTTTTGAAGTTGAAACATGAAAGTAATTTTATTAATAATATGAACCATATCAGAAGATGAAAGCCCAAAAAGGCAAATTACAAGTTACAACTTCTAAACGCTGACTCCCATGCCACCGCCTGATAATAAATTCCTTTCAAGGATATCGGCTTTGGACTAAAACACAACCATCAAAGAGGTAATTACCATGCATTTTATGTTGTAGAAAGTGATTTCTTCGAAATACATGTGAGAAAGACCAATGATTCCATAATTACGGTCATATTGAAGTCTCACTATCTGAGCATCAAAAACAAAGATGCAAGACAGATAAGATCAAAGCAACTAGATACTTACTCAATTGAGATAGAGAATATCTTTACTTTTATCAGTCTTATTATTATTCCATATACTTCACAATTCCAAACTTAAACTGATACATTCTCTCTATGTCATTGCAATTGCTCCTTTACTGCGTTAAACTTCATGATGCATATCAAAATCACCCATAAAAAGTTCCACTTCTAATGTCTCCTTCTTCAGAGATCAGGAACATCTAATCCTCCTCCGTCTGATAATGAGAGTTCACATGTTGATATTGTAAATTCAAACCCAAGTATTTTTTCAAATTATAAAATGAAAAATTGTTTTTAGCTTTTTAGCTCCAAAAAACTTATATTTCATACTTCTTTTTTCATTGTATTTAGTAGCTATCTTCTCTAGAACCAATTTGGTAATCAATTTTGAAGTTAAAAAATGGACACACTCAAAAGACAAACACGATCAGGAGCAGCAGCATGTAACAATAACAGACAAGTGAAATCAAGAGGCTACCTTGTCGAATTACAACGACATACACACACCAAATAAACAATAGATTGGCAAACACGAAGGCTGGAGCTGAACCATACAGTCCAAATAACCTCTTGCATCTTCTCCCTAATCCCGCGATCCCTAGCAATACCATCACTGAACAAACTAAAAATCAGAAATCGAAAACAATAACCACCACCACAGTCCATATATACATAAAATACATAGATGTAGATAGATAACCTGACAGAAAAAGAAGTATGATGATATTGTAGGAGAAGAAGAAGGAAGATACTAGGTAGAGGGCAAACTGAGCAAAGCAGACACAAACGAAGGATACCGTGGCCCGACCCATTAACCTCCATGGATCCCTGCGTTTTCTTCGACGCTCGACATCTTCCATTTACAGGCGCCAAATATCACAGCAACTTATCGATTTGTATGATTCACTTGCGAATCAGAAGCTTAAGTTGAAATTTGCGAGCGGCAACACGTTGAAAATGTCGGGTCGGGTTGAAATATGGCCCAGTTTACAAGCCCAATAAACATCTCTGTTAAAGGACCAATAAGTGATGATAGAAAAGATTTGTGAATTTCAAATATAAATCATATAAAATTTACAAATCAATCATAACCGTCTACGTAGTCTAAGAATATATGGTTTTACAAAAACAAATACTACAATACTCCATTTGATGATGTTCTAAGACACTCCCCTAACGGTAAAAAGGTTGAAATCCATAAATGAGATGTTGGGTTTGAATCATAAGGGATTGTTTGGTTACCTTTTAATAGTTCCATTAAGGGACAATTTCTGAATCGTTAAGAGATGAATCTTGGTTGACAAAAAAAATTCGCCTCTTAATGGTTCTAAAACGTTCTGAATAATTTTGTATCATAGGCACCCTTTAACTATTTAGCGTCCTAATTTTATTGTAAACAATTACGAAACAGTTATATTTCATTTTATACTATATCATGATAGCCTTTTAATCATTTTGATCAATTAATCATTCTGCACCAAATCATTCAGCAACTGCCAACACAGCCCTACTTGTGTTTTGCGATCTGGAACTCCATAAGTGGCACCGTAGCATTGGCTTTCCCTCAAACCGTAAATATAGACATAGTTATGTTGTTTAGATCATTTATATATATTTAAAAATTATTTTCTGAACCTTCAAATCGTGCACTTATAATAAGCTACATGTTGAAAAAAAAATAAAGCGATTCAAATATAGGTTTGTTTTTTTGTTTTCTATGGTTTGTTAAAAATTTATGTTTTTTTGTCTTTGTGGTTTGTTAAAAAAATTTATTTTTATTTTTGTAGTTTCAAAATTTATTACCTTTTTCGTTCTCATGATTTAAACTTTTAAAGGTTTAAGAAAGAGAAATAATATTTTATGAGTTATATTTAATATTTTAATAATACAGTTAATTGTGTAATCTTTAAAATAGAGAATTTGAAGGAGATGAATGTAATTTTTTTAGAGAATTTGACTTTTTAATTCTCTATTTTAAAGAATCTGTTGAAGATGTTCTAGGAGCATGTCCAATAGATTCTTTAAAAGTTTTCCAAAATGAAGAACAAAATTTTAAAATCTTCAAAAATAAAATTGCATCTAACTCCAACAGATTTTTCATTTTCAAAATTAGACGGTTAATTATATTAATAAAGTATTTCATTTATTTAATTAAATATTATTTCTCTATTTTAAATATTTATTTCCAAGTCATTTTTTAAGAGATCTTAAATTAGAGAAATTTACACTCTTACTTCCAAAATTTCTATTTTAATTTTTTTAAAGAATTTATTAAAATAGAAAATTGTCTCAAATTTTTATTTTTTTATTTTAAAGATTCATTTGGTTTAAATAGTTTTTTTGAAGGATGAAAATGAAAAGCTTTTTGATTTTTGAAAAAAATAATAATAATCTATATCTATACTATCTATACTATATTATAAAGCATTTGGCTAAA